AAACCTGGGAGGCAGAGGTTGCGGTGAGCCGAAATAGCACCACTGCACTCCAGCCTGGGCAACAAGAGCAAAACTCCGTTTCAAAAAAAAAAAAAAGAAAAAGAAAGGGCTACGAATTTGGAGCCAAATTAGCCCAGAGACACTGAACAGTGATACTAAGAGCAAGAAATTTAAGGGCTTAGAGATTTCGAGGAGGAGAGAATTAGAAGGCAATGGAGGTCTAGGGTGGTGGCTCCCATCTGTAGTCCCAGCACTTTGGGAACCTGAGGCAGGCAGATCGCTGAGCTGAGCCCAGGAGTTTGAGAACAGCCTGGGCAACATGGCGAAACCCTGTCTCTACAAAAAATTTTAAAAATTAGCCGAGTGTGATGGTGTGTGCCTGTGGTCCCAGCTGCTCAGGAGGCTGAGGTGGGAGGATGGCTTCAGCCTGGGAGGCGGAGGTTGCAGTGAGCCGTGAATATGTCACTGCACTTCAGCCTGGGTGACAAAATGCGACCCCCCCCATCTCAAAAAGAGAGAGAAGGCAATAGAGGCATGAGAGGTTTTGAAGAGATACCAAGGAGCTGGGTTCTGAAGAATTTGCAACTCCAGGGATCTTGTGAGGAAGCCAGAACGAAGCAACTGGGGGCAAGCACTGAGAGAACCTGGGGGATGTGGCCCTGTGGAGTGGAGGAAGGGGTCAGTACCTGTGCGTGGAATTGTTTGCAGCTGGGGGTGCAGCCCGTCCAGTCAGAGGCCCATGCTGTCCCAGGCGAAGCCCCTGAACTCGGCCTAGCCCCAGGCTGTGGAGAAGCCGCGCCAAGCCCCCAGCAGTCAGCGTCCCATTCTCTCCATACAGGCCAAACAGCTGGGCCAGGTAATGGTTCTGCTCCTGCTCAGCAGGGCCCAGGTTGGGGACTGAGCCCCCTACCCAGCCCAAGATGACCCACACACAGAAGCTGGCCAGCAGATGACTCACTGGGGACCCCATCATTGGTGAGGGGAATGGCTTAGGGTCTCAGGTTCTGGCTCCTATTCTCCCCGAAACATCATGAGGACTGTGCCCTGGAAGAAGAACGAATGGGCTGGAGTTGCTGCTCTGCTCTCCAGCTCGGGTCCATGGGGGAGCCAGAGCTCCTTACACCTGTTCCCCACCGAGTCCAGCAGCAGCCCCTACTGCAGCCTTCTTTCTCCCTTCACACTGCCTTCTTCGGGAGCAGCCTCTTGTTTGCCGGTTCCTAAAGCACCTCCCTGACTCGGAGCTCTCCCCATACTTCATCCAGAGCTGACTGTCCATTCCTTGTCCCCTGAACCCCACCCCTCAACTTTGCCCCACCTCTTTATCCCCCCTCAATCCCTAGGGCCTCACCCCTACTGGCAATGTGAGAGCTGTCACCTCAGGTCCCTTGTTAGACCTTGCCGTTGATGTTAAGCAGTTCCTGAGTCAGGGAGGGGGGAGTCCAGGCTTAGCCTCCAGGTGTCCAGATGGATCGGAGGCCACGTCACATAGAAGGCTAAGATGGACACGCACCCCCTCCTAGCCCACCTGCCTTGGGGCGGGGTCAGGGGTGGGGCCAGTGTGTGAAGGCTCACATAAGACAGGAGTTAATGGTTCACTGGTCTCTGAGGTGGGGGTCAAAGGTCAGTCTCTGCTGGGCCTCTGAGTAGGGAGGGGCCACCCTCTGCCCTGGGAAAGCCACATGGCTAAGGAGAACCTGGGCCTAGTCTTTTTCCTCTTAAATAATTCACCCCATCCTTAACACAGTTAGTACCATTTTAGCCCTTTCCCGCATGTACTTCCACCCCACCTACCTTACATCTGGCACTAAACTTCATCTCCAACCCCCATCCCCATATTCCTTGGGAAGGTTGGACCCAGGTGTCCCTAACCTGGGGAAGAGGGGGAAAAGGCAGATCAGTGGCAAGCCCAGATGCATGCATAAACTGTTCTTAGCAATTTCTCACCCCAAGAAGAGAAAGAGCCAGAGCTCTAGGGATCAATGACCAAGAAAGGGGAAGCCCTGTGGGGGAGAGGAAACAAGGATCTGGGCTCCCCTCTGATGTCTGACCTGGCCTAAAATCAGGCAAGCGAAGTCTGATAGGGGTGACTGGTCCAGGGGGTTGAGGTTGGCATTACCTGATTGCAGGAGACAAGGACACCCAGAGGAAGGGGGACACAGCCTTCTTGGTTCCAGCTGGGGGGGGTAGGCAGGCAGGCGGGCAAGGGTCACCTGCAGGGAGGGGGTAGGGGAGGGACACTACCTTAAAGGGGCAGGTCTGCTTTGCCTAGGCCTCCTTACCTGTAACCTATCTTCCTTCCACCTTCTAGAGACACCCCAACTTCCCAAATGCCTAGTTGCTAACCTCTTCCTTTTCCCACAAAAAGTAAAGGAGTCCAACACAGAGTAGAGTGGTAACATTTATTAAGAAGGAGAGATTTCAGTTAGACTCCCATGTCTCACACAGAAGAAACAGATGGTAACTGCCATTTCTTTCTTTCTTTTCTTTTTTTTTTGAGATGGGAATTTCTCTCTTGTTGCCCAGGCTGGAGTGCAATGGTGCAATTTCGGCTCACCACAACCTCCACCTCCCGGGTTCAAGCGAGTCTCCTGCCTCAGCCTCCCGAGTAGCTGGGATTACAGGCATACACCACCATGCCTGGCTAATTTTGTACTTTTACTAGAGATGGGGTTTCTCCATGTTGGTCAGGCTGGTCTCGAACTCCCGACCTCAGGTGATCCGCCCACCTCGGCCTCCCAAAGTGCTGGGATTACAGGCGTGAGCCACCACGCCCAGCCAGTAACTGCCATTTCTAAAGAGGAAAGAGAGCAGGCAGAGGGTCCTGACTCCCAGGGGACAGCTAGTTCAGCTGGACAATGAGGGAGTATGAGATTAGGGTGGATAAGAACACTGCTCACCACCCCTCCACTGAAGTTCAGTGGCTAAAACACTGCTACACCAGCCAGCCAGTGGAAGGCTATCTTGCTCTCCAGGAGACACTTGGGATGTGGTTGGTGGCAGGAAGAAAGAATGTCATGCTATCTTTTGCTGCTCCTCCGGGTTTCTTTGCCGTTACTAACAGGGTTGCTGGAAGGGCCAGGTGGGCCTGCAGGTGTGTGGTTGGGCTGGCTTCGAGTGATTCGGGTGCTGGGCGGGTGGGAGGGAGTATGAGGGGGATGTGGGCCACCACCAGGACCTGTTGGGGCACTCAGTCCATTCCCATTCTGGCTCTCAGAGGCTAGTTGTGGGAGGAGAAGAAACAAAGGAATTAGTTAACATAGGAGAGGGGTCCATCTCAAGGCCTGCCTCCATGCCCCAAAGAGTGGCACAGTCTTCACCATGCACAACTGCGTCTTAATGCCAATTCGACCAAATGCAAAAGACTGTGGGCTGCAAATATGAACGGAGCTCCAGAGAAGACTCACATGATCATTTGGGAAGTTGCTACATGAACCTCGGTATAATATTTTTCTCTCGTATTTATCTCACTATTATTGGGAATCAGACCTAGAATTAGCTGTTTAGTTCTAGGCTCAAGGATCTCTGACAAAAATGCCCCTTTACTGGGTCAGGCGCGGTGGCTCACGCCTGTAATCTCAGTACTTTGGGAGGCTGAGGTGGGTGGATCACGCGGTCAGGCATTCGAGACCAGCCTGGCCAACATAGTGAAACCCCGTCTCTACTGAAAATACAAAAAATTAGCTGGGTGTGCTGGCGGGTGCCTGTAATCTCAGCTACTCAGGAGGCTGAGGCAGGAGAGTCGCCTAAACCTGGGAGGCGGAGGTTGCAGTGAGCCAAGATTGCGCCATTGCACTCTAGCCCTGGCGACAGTGCGAGACTCCATCTGAATTTAACAACAACAACAACAAAAAGCCCTTTTACCAAAAGTGATTATAAAACTGGAGAAGCATGGCAAGGGGAAGGGCCTGAAGTCTCTGCGTTAAAATATGAGGCACTTAAAAAAAAAGGTGTGTATGTGTGTACCATAATGATAATGTTCATTTTAGAAAATATAGATAAGCGTAAGTGAAAAGATTATTACACATAATCTTACCCACCAAAGATAATAACAAGTCACATTTTTGTGTATATAAATTTTTATTTTTAAATTTTTACTGTTTTAGAGATGAGGTCTCACTTTGTCACCCAGGCTGGAGTGCAGTGGTGTGATCGTAGCTCACTGCAGCCTCAAACTCCTTGCTCAAGCAATGCTCCTGCCTCAGCCTCCCATGTAGCTAGGACGATGGGTGTGTACCACTGCATCTGGCTTAAATTTTCAATGTTTGACTGAAGCCAGGTGTGTGGGATGATTTCTTTGAGCTCTCATAATTCTGGACATACCACTATCATTGAACTTAACCATGGCGTATTATAATCATTATCTCTCTCCTGTATAAACTACAAGCCCCTAAAGGCAGGTAGTGTGTTTTATTCTGTGGCAAATAGAAGGTGCTCTAGAAACATTTGTTACATGAAGGCATAGGCTTGCTTCTTGCACACAGTAGGGCACTATGAACCCTAAATAGCATGGAAGTTATAGCCTAGTGGTTCTTTTTTTTTTTTTTGAGAAACAGTCTCACTGTTGCCCAGGCTGGAATGCAGTGGCATGATATCAGCTCACTGCAACCTCCGCTTCCCAGGTTCAAGCTATTCTCCTGCCTCAGCCTCCCAAGTAGCTGGGATTACAGGCTCCTGCCACCACATCTGGCTAATTTTTGTATGTTTAATAGAGATGGGGTTTCGCCATGTTGGCCATGGCTGGTCTTGAACTCCTGACCTCAGGTAATCTGCCTGCCTTGGCCTCCCAAAGTGCTGGGATTACAGGCGTGAGCCACTGCGCCCGGCCAACCCAGTGGTTCTTAAACCATATCTCTACTGAACCCTGCTGCTCCACTGGACTAAGATATCTGCAGCCCATGGCTGGGTGTGGTGCTCATGCCTGTAATCCCAGCACTTTGGGAGGCCAAGGCGGGCAGATCACCTGAGGTCAGGAGTTCAAAAAACCAGCCTGGCCATCACGGTGAAACCCTGTCTCTACAAAAATTAGCCAGGTATGATGGCAGGTGCCTGTAATCCCAGCTACTCAGGAGGCTGAGGCAGGAGAATTGCTTGAACCCAGGAGGCAGAGGTTGCAGTGAGCCAAGGTCACGTAATTACACTCCAGCCTGGGTGACATAGACTACATCTTAAAAAAAAAAAATTAGCTGGCTATGGTGGCAGGTGCCTGTAATCCCAGCTACCTGGGAGGCTGAGGCAGGAGAATCACTTGAGGCGGAGGTTGCAGTAAGCTGAGATTGCGCCATTGCACTCCAGCCTGGTCGACAAGAGTGAGACTTAGTCTCAAAAAAAAAAAAAAAAAAAAAAAAAAAAAAAGAGGGGTCTGGGAGAATTGGGTGAAAGAGGATATACTGAGAAAAGAGAGCTTTGGAAAAGGAATGAGGGAAATGCATCTTTCTAGGCTGAGCAGAGTAGGAGAGTTAGGAGGACCAGTGGATGGAAGGGAACAGATTTACCTGGAGAAGCAGCAGAGGGTCCAGTGGTAGGCTGGGAAGCTGAAGGGTTGCTGTCGTTCTGCACCTGAAGGCACAGATTACGTATTCAGATCCTGCTCCCTCCCATGCTTCTTGTCTTGATCTGCCCTCTTTTCCCACCATTGTGGCCACAGGACTCACCGCCTTGTTGGGTGTCTGCTGGGTGCTGTACTCTGGATTTGGCTCACTGAAGTTAGGAACCTCAGAATAAACCATACAGAATCTGCAAGGGGAGAAAGTAGCTAAAGCCTTGGATTCATCCTCTGGGCCACTGCTGGGGGCCTCAGAAAAGTCCCGATAGGTTGGACGTGGTCACTCACATCTGTAATCCTAGCACTTTGGGAGGCAGAAGTGGAAGGATCGCTTTAGCCCATGAGTTTGGGACCAGCCTGGGCAACATGGCGAAACCCCGTCTCTATAAAAAATACAAAAAAATTAGCTGGGTGTGGTGAAGCACGCCTGTAGTCTCAGCTACTTGGGAGGCTGACATGGGAGGATCACCTGACCCTGGGAGGTCAAGGCTACCGTGAGCCGGGATCATGCCACTGCACTCCAGCCTGGGCGACAGAGACTGTTTCTCAAGAAAAACAACAACAACAACAACAGAGAAAGTCCAGAAATAAGGCTTGGAGTACACACCCTATGCTGCCTCGTTGCAAACCCCTTTGCCCTGGTACTTCTTCGTCCCAATCCCCAAGATAGCACTTACTCTCCAATCTTCTGCAGATCACCCCCACGGCCAGTATATAGTGTCAGACAACCTTTGAAAACTGAAGCGTACCTACGGGAGCAAAAAAATAAAATTCAGAGTACTCAGAAGTGTTACAGGGACTGTTAACCCCACTCTTGATTGTTGTTGCCTTTGGAAGGCCAGAAGTCACCAGCTGGCTTACCCTTTGGTGAGCCGGATAATGTCCCCAGGCTGGATCAGATTGCCGACATCGTCCCAGACAGAGATATTGATGCTGCCTGTTTTGTCCGCCACTTTGCAGGTCCGAACCTCATGCCCGTCCTTTGTCTTGGTCACTCGGCCTGAACAGAACAGATAAATCGAGGTGGGAGGATGGTCAAATAAATGGGGTGGTAGCTGTCAGAAGGATGAGATGTAGATATTGGTGGAATGAGGGAAAAGGTGTACAAGCAGGGGAAAGGCCAAATCCCTGGGGCATAAGGGGTTGGGATTGTGGAAGGGGTGGTGCTGGGGGTGGAGGTGGGAGTTCAGGGGCCAGCACCATGGAGAGGGCCCTGAGTGGAAAGAGGCCCGCGTGGCACAGGAGGTCTAGATCTGGCAAGGGTTCTATCTACCCTATACCTGACTGCAACTTTCTGTCCCAGGGTCGAAGAGAGAGACTGGGAGTGAGGAGTGTCTTGCAGCTTGCCTTGCCATCCCCATAGCAAGTTAAGAAAGCAGATAGCATTCTTCCCCTCCTGCCCCCCACCCCAATCCCGGGAACCCGCCACCCCAGTATAGACACCTGTCTCCAGCACAATGAAGATGAGGTTCAGATTCTTGAGCCCAGGCTTGATATCCTTCACAAAGGTCTCCGTCGTCATGCTGCCCGAGCCTCGGCACCCCACTGGATGGGGAATAAGGGATGAAGGCTCAATGCTTGAATCCTTTGCCCCCATGCTCCACTTCCCAAGGCCTACCTACCCCATTAGGCCGGGGTCAGGCAGCCTCAACCCCTCTAACGCTTCTAAAAGATTTAAAAAGAACATCCCCGGAGGCCTCCAACTTAAAGATCAGAATTTGGGGGTCTCTGGACAGGCTGCTTTGGGGCTGGAAGGCCCCCTGCGGGATGCTCTTTTAGTCTCAAGCCCTGAAGTGGCGGAGCCGACGGAGACAGGAGTAGGGAACCCGGTGCAGAGCCAGGGAGTAGAATCTTACTGGTCAGACCTTCCCGAACCCTCATCTCGACAACCCGGGACTCGCTCCATGCCCTCCCCTGCCCGCCGCCCACCACCCACCACCCACCACCCACCACCCACCCAGCCAGCCGGCAGGACTGTGCACGCCGCTGAGCAGCCCGCAGGGGGAGCCACAGGCTCCGCTGCCGCCGGATGCTGCCCGGTGGAACGCAGGAGTGCGGCCATTCCCGGAAGTTTCCCCCGGCTGGCCTCCTCCGGCCAATCAGCACCGCCCGGGCGCGCCCTGCGTCCCGCCGCCTGCCCTGCCCAGCCAATCGGGATCAGAGACTCGTGCGCCGCGAAGGGGGCGAATTTCAGGTATTAAAGGAACCTTGGAGATCGTTGGCTCTGCAGGGGGAAAGACCCACCACTAGAGGGCGCACAGGGCCCTAATTTTTCTTAACTTGGCTGGGGAGAATGCACTTAGGCTCTAAGACGTTTGTTAGGCTCCAAGAGTGACACAATGGGAAAAGGAGCAAGGGCTTCGGAATCTGGCGGACAAAAGTTTGAATCCTGGCTCAATGCTTCACTTCCTTTCTCGACTATTTAAACATATGTAATTCCAATTCCGCTAGGCGCGGTGGTTCACGCCTGTAATCCCAGCAAGTAGGGAGGCATAGGCTGGAGGATAGCATAAGTCCAGGAGTTCCAGACCTGCCTAGGAAATATAGCGAGACCCCATTCTCCACAAAAAGGGGGAAAAAAAGACAAAAAATATGTAATTCCATCTTACGAGAAAACGGAAGTTATATTTTAAAAAGTGCCTTGCACACAGTAGGCACACACGGTTTCCTCCCTTTTTATTGCTCTAACCCTTATCTTTGTTCCTGATTTGAGGTTCTCATTTTTAAGGCACTATCCAGCTTGGTCAAGGTCTCTGGGAAAAGTGGCATTTATACCAGAGACAAAAGGCAGGCTCACCCTTCTTGGAAGAGATGGAACCTACGGCATAGAGGGAAACATTTGTTAGGCCCTCTTTTTTTTTTTTTTTTTTTTTGAAACAGGGTCTCCCTCTGTAACCCAGGTTGCAGTGTAGTGGTGCAATCTTGGCTCACTGCAACCTCTGCCTCCCTGGCTCAAGCGATCCTCCCACCACAGCCTCCGTAGTGGCTGGTACTACAGGTTCACACTACCATCCTCGGCTAATTTATATATATATATACACACACACACTTTTTTTTTTTTTTGTAGAGACAGTTTCGCCATGTTTCCCAGGCTGGTCTCAGACTCCTCAAGCGATCCGCCCACCTCGTCCTCCCAAAGTGCTAGGATTACAGGCGTGAGCCCTTGCACCTGCCCGCAAAGGAGTCTTGCTCTGTCGCCCAGGCTGGAGTGCAGTGGTGCGATCTCGGCTCACTGCAACCTCTGCCTCCCGCGTTCAAGCGATTCTCCTGTGTTAGCCTCCCTAGTAGCTGGGATTACAGGCACCCGCCACTACGCCCGGCTACTTTTTTTGTATTTTTAGTAGAGACGGGGTTTCACCATGTTGGCCAGCCTGGTCTCAAACTCCTGACCTCGCGATCCACCCGCCTCGGCCTCCCAAAGTGTTGGGATTAAAGGCGTGAACCACCGCGCCCGGCCATACTACTCTTACCTTACTTGATCGCAGAGTCCCTCTAGAGGACGGCAGAAAGGAGGCCTGAAACTTTAATTCCTTTCGGGACCTGTCAAATTGTCCACAAAAGGTAGCTAGCTCTGTATTGTTGTGTATAAACAAATTACATAAAGATATGTGTGTGTGTATGCGTGTATTAATGTGCATTAGCATTTACTTAGCCAATGTCCACAATAAATACCATACTATTTAATACCAGATTAGCCTAGGAAGTCATGTAATTGTAATGCCTTGGTTTGCTTAATTAATCCCCTATCTTCTCATGGAGCTCTTTAGGCTCCACATTGACTTCCCTTGGATCCCAGATTCTCTACCGCCCACATCCCCAACACCACAGTGTGTAAGCTAAGGAAATCAAACCCCAACTCAGGAAGACGGAAATTTTTTCTCCCCTCCTTCCTTCCTCTTAGGTGTTTCAGGGAACTCCACAAGTGTTCGAGGAGCCATCGTGGATAGGGCAGGAGAGCGCCTGGGAGAGAGGCTGACAACCCATTGAGCACCCCAGATCTAAGCTTTGCGGTCAGACTCCCTCACTCCCCACCCCGCGGCCGCCTTGTTACGAAGCTCTAGGATGCTGACCAGGTCTCTGGAAAAGGGAGAGGGGCCGGACCCGCAGCAGGTCACGCTGCAGGTCTGCCTCTCCGCAATGATCTCGCACCAATCTGCGTCAGCTCTAAGACACAAGTCACCTGCACCCCTCCAAAGCGAAGCGTGGCCGGCCAGGCCCACACGTTCTTGCCGGGAAGAACACAGAGTTCTCCCTCCCAAAGGACTATATCCTGGCTAGGCCTATATAGACTCTAGACTAGACTTCCGGTCTAGAGTGGCGGCCTGGCCAGCCTTCGTCCCTCCTGGTAGGCCGCTCGTGGCTGGTAGTGTAGGGGCTGAGTTAAACAAAGAGGCGGGGTTTGGTGACGAGCTTCCGCCGGGTTGCGTAGCAGCGGTGGGCGGGGCAAAGGATCCGTCTGAGAAGGCGACGAGTGGTCGGAGTCTTCTTTCCCCTCCTTCCCCTTTCCCTTCCCTACCCGGGAGAGGCTGGGACCCGGCACCAGGGCACTAGTGTGGCCGCTGCGGCCTCAGCTCCGACTGGGTCAGGTTGCGGAGACTCCAGGCCGCTTCCAGGGCGGTGCGTACTGCGCCTGCGCGATCTTCCACCTAAATGAGGGTGTGGGAGGGGAGGAGGTGATGTCCCAGGGGTATTGGGGCGGGGGGCTGAAATACTGGGGTTCAGAAGGAGGGATGGTGGTAGAGATAAAAATGTGGGCAGGGAAGCAGCACGGGCGAGGAGTCGGGAGGTGAGAAGGGGGCCCTGGAGATTGGGCTGTTGGGGAAGGTCCGTTGGAATAGGGGAGCTTTGAGAAGTGCGGGAGGCGGCCAGAGCTAGCTGGAGGACCGGCAGCCGCGGACCTGGGCGAACAGCGTGGTGTTTAAATGGGCAATGACTGACGGGCCAGAAGCGGAGGAAGGGAGCATTCCGGGGGCCAGCCTGGGCAGGGGCGGTGGAACCTAAACCCCCGCCCTCCAAGCGCCATAGCTTGGCTTCTCTCCCATGCCTTGTCTTTGGCAGCCTTGTCCTCTCATTCCTTCCCCGCTCCTCACCCCCTCCCAGCCCTCCATGAAGGAATCTCACATTCTTCACATCCGTGCGCTTGGTTTGCAGCCTGGCTCTCTGACAGGTTTCACACACCACACACTGGAAGGCCTTCCCTAACTCAGGACTTTGGGAAATTGGGGAGTGGGGAGGAGGGGGCCAGAGGCAGAGCAGAAAGCCAGGAGGGGTGAGGGCGTTTTGCTTGAGGGATTGACAAACTGCTTCCCTATTCAGAAACTTCATTTCACCTAATAGCAAGTGGGGCTGTTAATGAGGCCACTGTTCTTAGGGACTGGCCCGTGATAGTGTTATCCTTTTCTATAGAGGGGTTTTAGAGTCTCACAATAGGGCGAGAGGCTGATAGTGTCGTTGGCTGATAGTTTTGCCCCAAATAAGAATGGAGTGGACTAGTGGTAGAGAATGTGAGTGATGCAGTGTTACTACCTTGCATGTCCAGCCGACCGACCTGTGGCTAGGCCTACCTTCTAGTAAAAAGAAGGAACAAGCTTTTCAAGCATTTCCTCTCCGACTCTCAGTACTCTAAATTTATTTTGCGTTATATATATTTTTTTAAGACAGAGGATCACTCTTATCACCGAGGCTGGAGTGCAGTGGCACAATCTCGGCTCGCTGCAACCTCCTTCTGGATTCAAGCAATTCTCCTGCCTCAGCCTCCTGAATAGCTGGGATTACAGGCACCTGCCACCATGCCTGGCTAATTTTTTGTATTTTTAGTAGAGATGGGGTTTCACCATGTTGCTAGGCTGGTCTCAAACCCCTGACCTCAGCCTGGCACGGTGGCACACGCCTGTAATCCTAGTACTTTGGGAGGCCGAGGCGGGCAGATTGCCTGAGCTCAAGAGTTCGAGACCAGCCTGGGCAACACAGTGAAACCCCGTCTCTACTAAAAATATAAAAAATTAGCTGGGCATGGCTGTGTGCACCTGTAGTCCCAGCTACTTGGGAAGCTGAGGCAGGAGAATTGCTTGAACCCGGGAGGCAGAGGTTGCAGTGAGCTGAGATTGTGCTGTTGCACTCCAGCCTGGGCAACAGAGCAAGACTCTGTCTCCCCACAGTTCCCTCCACCCCCAAAAAAACAACCCTGACCTCAGGTGATCGGTCCACCTCGGCCTCCCAAAGTGCTAGGATTACAGGCATGAGCCACTGCACCTGGCCTTATTTTGCATTCTGTTGCTACAAATAATCTTACTTTAGCATAACAGTATTCAGTATCCTTTCATATTCATTCATTTATTTATATATTTTTGAGACAGGGTCTCACTCTGTCACCCAGGCCAATGTGCAGTGCTGCGGTCTCTGCTCACTGCAGTCTCTGCTTCCTGGGCTCAGTTGATCTTCCTGTTTCAGCCTCCTCAGAAGCCGGGACTACAGGCTCTCATGCCACCATGCCCGGCTAATTTTTGGTTTTTTTGTAGAGACAAGGTTTCACTATGTTGCCCAGGCTGGTCTCAAACTCTTGGACTCAAGTGATCCACCCACCTCGGCCTCCCAAAGTGCTGGGATTATGAGTGTGAGCCACTGCGTCCAGCTTCCTTTCATATTTATTTCATTTGATTTGCAGGACAGTATGTATAAGGGGTGTGCATGTGTTTATACGTGTATACACATACACACATATAGACACCTTATATTAGGCCGGGCACAGTGGCTTACGCCTATAATCCCAGCACTTTGGGAGGCCAAATGTGGCGGATCACATGAGGCCAGTCTGAGACCAGCCTGACCAACGTGTTGAAACCCCGCCTCTACTAAAGTATAAAACTTAGCCTGGCATGGTGACACGTGTCTGTGATCCCAGCTACTCAGGAGGCTGAGGCAGGAGAATTGTTTGAACCTGGGAGGTGGAGGTTGGCATGAGCTGAGGAGATCGTGTCACTGCACTCTATCCTGGGTGACAGAGCAAGACTCCATCTCAAAAAAAAAAAAAAAAAAAAGAAAAAATAGGCCAGGCATGGTGGCTCACGCCTGTAATCCCAGCACTTTGGGAGGCCCAGGCGGGCAGATCACAAGGTCAGGAGATCGAGACCATCCTGGCCAACATGGTGTAACCCCGTCTCTACTAAAAATACAAAAACTAGCTTGGCATGATGGCGCACACCTGTAGTCCCAGCTACTTGGGAGGCTGAGGCAGGAGAATCGCTTGAACCCGGGAGGCAGAGGTTGCAGTGAGCTGAGATCATGCCACTGTACTCCAGCCTAGCGACAGAGCAACACTCTGTGTCAAAAAATATATATGTATATATAAAATATATATAATACTACTATATATTATATATACGTTATATTAATATATGAGGCAGGTCTCATTTTTCTCTACTTGACAGTTGAAGAAACAGAAAAACTACAGCAGGGTTACTTGACTTGTTTAAATGTGTACATTTATGGGCGGGCGCCAGTGGCTGGTGCCTGTAATCCCAGCACTTTGGGAGGCTGAGGTTGGAGGATTGCTGGAGCCTGCCCAGGAGTTAAAGACCAGCCTGGGCAACGTGTCCAAACCACGTGTCTACCAAAAATACAAAAATTAGCCAGGCGTGCTAGTGTGTGCCTGTGGTCCCAACTATTTGGGAGACTGAGGTGGGAGGATTGCTGGAGCCTGGGAAGGCAAGGCTGTAGTGAGCTATGATCATGCCACTGTACTCCAGCCTGGGCAATAGAGCAAGACCCTGTCTCAAAAAATAATAATAAAAGTAATAATTTATGTGGGCCGGGTGCTGTGGCTCACACCTGTAATCCCAACATTTTGGGAGGCTGAGGCAGGTGTATCACCTGAGGTCAGGAGTTTGAGACCAGCCTGGCCAACATGGTGAAACCCCATCTCTACTAAAAATACAAAAATTAGCCGGGCATGGTGGTGGGCGCCTGTAATCCCAGCTATTCTGGAGGCCGAGGTAGGAGAATCACTTGGACTCGGGAAGCGGAGGCTGCAGTGAGCCAAGATCACACCATTGCACTCCAGCCTAGGTGACAGAGTGAGACTCTGTCTCAAAATAATAATAATTTATGTGAAAGCACTTTGGAAACATAAAAGCAGCAGTCCCCAGCCTTTTTGTGAAAGACAGTTTTTCTACAGATGGTGGGCGAGGGGATGGTTTTGGGATGAAACTCTTCCACCTCAGATCATCAGGCATTAGATTCTCATAGGGAGTGGGCAACCTAGATCCTTCACATGTGCAGTTCACAATAGGGTTCGTGCTTCTCTGAGAATCAAATGCTGCTGATGCTCTGACAGGAGATGGAGCTCAGGCCTCAGTGCTTGCTTGTTTCCTGCTCACCTCCTTTTGTACGACCCGGTTCCTAATAGGCCACAGTCTGGTACTGGTGCATCTGGGGATTTGGGGACCTCTGCATTAAAGCATCATCCTGTACACGTAATGTATTATGGATCTATGCATTTGTGTGTGTGTGTGTGTGTGTGTGTTTTGAGTTGGAGTCTTGCTGTGTCGCCTAGGCTGGAGTGCAATGGCACGATCTCAGCTCACTGCAACCTTCGCCTCCCGTGTTCAAGCAGTTCTCCCTGCCTCAGCTTTCTGAGTAGCTGGGATTACAGGCACCCACCACCACGCCTGGCTAATTTTTATATTTTTAGTAGAGATGGGGTTTTGCCGTGTTGGCCAGGCTCATCTCGAACTCCTGACCTCAGGTTATCCACCCTCCTCGGCCTCCCAAAATGCTGGGATTCCAGGCTTGAGCCATCGCACCCAGCCGGACCTGTGTGTTTTGTAGTCACAGATTTGGAATCATTATTACTGGTAGTTATGTGCACTGAATAAAAGAATCGTAAATCTCCAACAACTCCTCTTCTCTGCTTTTCCTCTTGTCCTTTTCTTTCCCCCTCCCAACTATGTTCAAATCTACTGGACCCTGTGTGTGTGCTTCCTTAGCTGGTGAGCTCCCTCCTTAGAAGGTAGTCTTACTTGCCTAGCACTGAAAACTTAGTGTTTAATGGAGTTATCTCATCCTCTCCAACCAACTGCCAGATCCATCTGTCCAGTCTCCTTGCCAAGTGGAGGTAGTTCTCCTGACTCTCCTTTCTCTTCCTTGTTTCTATTACTAGAGTACTCCTGATTGTGACATCACATTCATCCCCTGGGTGATGGAGCTTGTCACTGGGAAGGAAGACTCAGTCGGAGAATAGCCAACAAGATGGGTTACTGGGAGAATCTCTTCAGTGGCACTGAGTGGAGGCATCAGGGGGTTGGAGCCTTGTGAACAGGGAACCTGCCCCC